GAAAGAAACCAAGATCAATTCTTGTATTAAAATCTACTTTACAACAGTGTAGAAAAAATATTATTACTGATTTTATTAGTGATAAGGTATTAGAGTCAAATCTCTATTATGCAACATCTGATTTGGGAAAAATTCTTAGGAAATTTAATAGTATTATTCAAGGTAAAAAGCTTATAGTCATAAATAAAACCAGTATGTTTAGTGGGGAATGACATAGGTTTAATAGTCATCTTAAATCTCTTATAATAGAGGGAAAGGTAAGTATAGAGTGCAAAGGTCTCAAAACTTTAAGAATAAATGATTTTAGTGGATTTATGGTCACAAGTAATCAGGATACTCTGCTAAAAATAGAGACAGATGATGCTCATATAGTTTGTTTTGATGTATCTGTATGTTGTAGGGGTAATATTGCATATTTTAATAGACTAGGAGAAATTCTTGATTATTCTGATGCACCAGGAGTAGTCATGTCATATCTTCTTAGCTGTGATCTATTAAAGTGGAGTCTGCAGAATTTCTCTATCACTAAAATGAAAAGAGATACAATAATGAAACAACTTCCAAATTCCACTCGCTTTATAATACAACATATTAAATCATAGTCCAAAAATCAAATCGAAAAACTGATCTCTGGAAATTTATATCAAGATTATCTTATTTGGTGTAGAAATAAAAGCGAGAATTGAATCAATAACAATAAATTTGGAGGTTTTTTCCCACTGATAGGAATTGAGAAAAAGCAGATATGAATCAATAGAAAAAGAGAATAGATCTATATCCTTGACCAATCTAAGATCGTAGCTAAATTATATGAGTTAATAGGTGATATTGAGGAATTTTTCGATGTATCTTAATCTGAGATACTTACCAACGAATTTACAGATATCCCTATATTCGATGTCTCAGAAATCGTAACCTCTAAATTAGAAAAAATAGAACCTATCTCTTTACTTACAAATCATATCGGAAAAGGTAAGGATTCATTACTCATCCTACCTATTACTAACATGACTCAGGCTCTCTTCAATTCTATAATAGATCAAGATGAATTTTCAATTGCTTCGTCATCCAAATCTACTGATATATCTCTGTCTCTTGAGATCATGAACGTAGAGTCCTTAGACGATAAATCTAAATCTTCAGAAATTATTGAAGAATCAAAGATTCAAGGTCACACCTCATCAGTAAATGATAAGCCAGAGATATCTCCTGACTTACTTGCAAACAATAAACCAAAGTCTAGCAATAAAGAAGTCAATATCCAATTGGAATCATATCCACCTGGTTATTTAACCTGAGAGCAACAAGAGACTCGATTAAGGAAATAGGCAGTCGACTACAGTAAGAATTCAGATAAGTTCATAATCATTACTGAAAAAGACAGGGACTTGACACTAATATACTGTAATAGATTGTGCTCAAATGCAAACATGATTCAGTTCACAAAAGATACCAATGATAATTCAGATACATTAATAGATATGTCTAGAAGAGAAAGGTTAATAAGTAAAGAAATTATGCTTCAAATGTATAAGGATGATAGCAATTTTCGAACAAGAAGTTATGATGATGAGGAATGGATAGAAAAAATAACAATACTTCAGAAAAATAGATATCTATAGTAAGATTATTGCTTTGCAGGCCCATAGGAGTATCTCTTTGAGATATGGGATAAGCTCTGCTCCTACTATATACTAAATGCAAAACATTTCTACTTTGTGAGAGGAGTGAATAGGTGAATTTTGCAGGTAGGAGAGAGATTTTGCTTCTACTTATAGGCAATATAAAAATTTTAAATTAAAATATAATGAGAACTCTGTTCTTTATACCAATATACTAGTTTTTGTAATGCCTAAAAATGATATTTAGTAAAATTTTAAGTAATATATTATCCCAACTTTAATTTTAAATATGAAAGTGTATATAGAATAATAGTACAGCTGAAATGTCTTGTAATTGGTTATTAGTTAGTGAAACCTATTTATATAAAATTCTATCGAGAGAGCAATATTACACTTCTCATATATTCAAAATTCAAAATGGTGTAATAATCCCAGAATTGTGTAAAGGATGTAGTCGAGGGACTAAATCAAGCATCTAGCTTTGTGTCCTATGCGGACAAGGTAAGGAAAGAGCATACAGATATTATAAACACAAATGTGAAGAAAAAATCTATCTTCTTGGTCTATAATCTCGAAGCTAAAAAATAATTGTCTATCTATTTTTGTAGATATATAGTTACTGTACAAATGTCTTTAACAAACTGACTATAAATGTAGTGAATTGTCAGGGATAAGTAATATCATTTATTTTTTATATATAATCTGAGTCCTTTAAAAATAATCAATTAAACTTATCATTTTTATAAATAATAATCAACTATTATCATTTTCATAAGTAGTAGCACATATATCATGTATATCCAAGAGCTAGAATATAACAAAGAAACGATTACCTCAGATGAGTTATTCAAATTGGCTAAGCATTCGAGAAAGCCAAAAATCTATAACCCAAAAACTAATTGTATAATTGCAATCAATAGGCCTGCATATAATAGACTATTACGCGATAATTATATATATTGGAGAGAAGAAAGTCTTTTGATTTCGCCATTCAATAAAATACTAATACTAAGAAAATGTCTATCTTTTGTATCTAATAAGATTTGAGATATTGTTGCAGAAAAAAGTCTTCTTATAAAAATCAATGAGAAACTGAGCTTGTTAGAAATTTTGCTTAAAGCCAACTGGAATGAATTCGTAATATGCAATTTGCTAAAATTTGGCTGGGACAATAGAAAAATGAAGGAATGGAGAAATAATACCCTCATGAAATTCCTTCATCATTCAAATTTAACTCTATTGAAATATAAACCAAATGCATTATATGATACATTTACCAAAACGAATGTTCTAACTTCAGAATGCATGCTTACTCTAGCACAAGCATTATACTAAAAAATAAAATGATAAAACCAAATGATATTAATGAAACTAGAATCCACCCCTAGAGTTATATATTTTTTTCATTATATCTATGTATTATTAAATTTCAAATCGACAGATGTATACCATATACCTAGTATATATCGATTATTTTTCCTAGAACCTCTTTAAGTAATGCTATATCCTCCTTGATACTTTCTATATTTTTAGTTATTTTGTTACATAGAGCTATAGATTTTATTTTGGGAGAAATGACACCTCATGCCCGATCGATCTCGTGTCTTATTCATATCTATTTCTTGATAGAATTATATTAACTACAACTGATTCAATTTCTGAGTATACATATCGACCTGGCATAATTAATTTCAATTTGAAAAAATATATTTTGTAGTATATATAACCTAAAGAAGTGCTTATAATATACTATAATATTAGACCATATTAGCTATTACAATTTAAATCATTGAAAAATATACTCTCACTCTGAAGATGAGCAACTCTGAACTTAGCTAATATACCTCAGAGTTTCTCAAGAATCTTACTGATGATAAAAAGCAGAATCAGGCATGCAGATGCCTTCGAGATGGCTTTAAATTTAGCAGTGAACAGGTAGGTGTATTGATACCTAATCAGAGAAGTGGAAAAAATAAAACTATAAATTTGGTTGAAGGTAATTGTAGAATAGCTATAACCAAGCTCCCAAAAAGTTTAGAAGAAGAGATCATCAAAGAGAAAGCAAAACGAATCTTGCAAAATAGATATAGGTTTAGTGAAGATCAAGTAAATGCTTTATTCACAATCCCAAAAACGAAAGTAGACATAGTGCAACTACCTCAGATAAAACGTAAATATTGTAATCACCAATTAACTCTCTAAAGGAATGGAGAAAGAAACAATTGGGGATATAGCGCAACAGATTTTACAGGATAAACTTAGCATTAGAGATATAAGAGCTGAAGCTTATGCCTTAGCCCTATCAGCAAAAAATGTTAATGCTGACTTATTACGTCTCACTCATCTTTGCAGAGAATTAAGGAACCTTAATGCATTACTTGAGATAATTGAGGTTACAAATTTTCAGATATTATAGAAGATGCCAACAAAATTTAGAGTGTCAATCGAAAAAAAGCTGAAGCTAAACGTATTGATTATCTAGATGAATTTACATTAGAATTAGTCAAAGAAAGATTAGATGTATATGATATTAAAACTTTACCTGATTGTCAGGCTCTTGCTGATATTATAGTGATATTTTGTATTCGTCCTGCTGAACTTAAAACTTTCGTATTACAGATGCTGAAGTGACAGAATATGTAAAGAATCGAGGTCAGCCAGATATTCTTAGAAAATTTAGATCGATGGAAAAGAATCAAGAACGAGCCAAAGAACTACTTATTTGAATTTAGTGTGCTATATCATCTAGACGAATGGGTAATCCAGGTAAGCCAGAAGTTAAATGGTTCAATAAATTCTTAAAAGATTATGATTTAATTCCTAAATATTTACGTAAATTTGGAGCAGTTTACAGTACAGTAGCACATAAGGCCAAGAATATGACTCATGCTTATACAATTGCTAGAGAATGTCTATATCATTCATCTGATAATCATACTTCTTCTGTGCAAAATTACATTGTAGTCAATTATAGAAAAAGAGGAATTCTTTATAAACAAGTAAGACGATTTCATATCTATGATTAAGATTAATTACGTTTCTCCACTTTTACTATATCTACAGTAAAATCTTCATTATCATAAAAAGATTCAGAGCCAAATTTAGATTCAGATTCAGATGAAGACTCAGATGCGGTATCGTTAAAAATTATTTTTTTTCTTTTAGCTTCAGATAGTGTATGATTTTTCTGAGAAATATCTGGATTTGCTATCGAGTTTATAATATCCTGCAGAATCTTAGGTTTCACTATCTTCAGTAATTAGCAGAGAGAAATCTGGATTTTTTTACCTGATACTTGCTTAATAATATCAGATACCACTTTATCAGTAATATTGAGTAAACTTGTATCTTTTTTGAAACCTAATTTTTTCACAATCTCATAAGTGATAATTAGATATTCTGAACATGAATCAATCACATTCTGTTGCTTTAATACTAATTCAATATTATTATTTTCAGTCATTGTCTATGTTAAATTATTTATTAATATGCAATAAAAAAATACATCATTAAATATACTTAAAATGTTCATAAATACTCTTGTCGAAGGAAAAATCCTAGTAAAAGTGTTAATTGATACAACATCTAAATATAATATTATTAGCAAACAATTATTTAATAAGCTTGAATCTAATCACGGATTAGAAGGTATAGTTAGTGATGATCTGATAGGTGAAGAAATAAAAAGCTTAGATTTACAGTTTTGCATTAAAAGAAAGTAGCAAAGTTTAGATAATACTGAACTAATAAACTTTCAAATTCACAAAAATCTATTATTCGATCTAATGTTAGGGCAAGATTAGTTATAAATGCGTGAAGCAAAAATAAGCTTTGAACATTCTTCCAAAACCCATGTCTGCAATGCTAAAATTGTAATAGATGGTATAAGTATCCTGTTATTCAATGAAGATTTTAACAAAGCCAGCTCAACTAAAAATAATTTATCTAAATCAATAGAATCTAAACCTAGTCTAGCTCAAGAGGAGGTTATAAATATAATTAACAAAATTCTCTAAAATATTGGAGATAGACCCAAAGGGTCATTGCTTTGCAACATATCTCCTACACATCTACTATTCAGAAGATTAAATGATGATGTTTTCAAAAATAAGAGTAAGAAAAATAATGTCAAATATTTCACAGATACTTCTTCTAATTCAGACACTTCAGACAGCGATTCAAGTAATTCTTCTACATCTAGTTTAGAAATAGAAGTTATATATACGTATAAGACTAGAGAAGTAAAGAAACGCCCTATTCGAAAGCGTAAAGTAAAAGGTAAAGTTAATTATTGAGTTTGATGATCTTATATATAGCCACAAAGTGAAGTAAATTACATCACATTATAATGGGCCTCAAGAGAGCAATGTCATGTGTTTTAAATCTACGAATCGGAGATTAGCATAAAAGTATTTCAGTACTAACCAACTCACTAACTGCATCTATTGCAGAGCAATGACCCTTTAGGTCTACTCTTAAGCTAAATTTTTTATCCACGATTGCTAGCAAAGATCAAGTGATTCCTCTATACTAATTAATTCTAAATGAATAGATCGCCAAATCCAAAATGAGATTTTATAAAATCTGCAAATTGGTTTGTTAATATAGAAATATATTATAAAACAGAATAAATAAATAATAAATTTAAAAGACTTATCTGGTTAAAGTTTAAGTAAATGTATTGATTTAGATATTATATCTGTTTATTTTTTAGCTATCAAATAATTCCAGGTAGTAAAAAAATAATATATAGTCAGGTAAGTATGAAATGATAAGAAAAATTTTTATCATTAACCAACTCATCATAACTTATACTATGAGTAACGAACCACTTAGCAAAGGAAAACTTACCAAAAAATACCCCAAACAAGCAGAATTATTAAAAGCCTTAGGAATAAATATCTTAAAAGGTCATATAAACTCTCTCGCAAGTAATTTCACAATACTGGAGCTAGAGAATTGTCATAAATATAATAAAAAAATTTTGTTAAATCTACTCAAAGCATTTACCATGCTTATGTATAGTCATATACTTTATTATGACTGTCTTGAAAAAAGTAATAGAGATAAGCAAAAACTTGACCCATTTGTTTCATAGATAATGAAGGAATAGCATTAGCTGAAGTTCAGGATATAGATATATTAGAGGCAGTAGAAGATAAAGGTGAAGAAACCTCTAATCTAACAGAGGCAGTAAGTAAGTTATCTGTAGATGATGGTAAAGCTATCCTATGAAATGAAACAAAATCCATAGAACCTGATAAAATACAAGGTTTAATAAAAGAACTATCTATTCCAAGTGAGCTGATTGATGATAATGATAGAAAAAATAAGAGCAAAGAATCAAAACCAATAACTTTACTCCAGTTATACTATAATGCAAACTAAGCAGAAAAACGTATAACCTGTATCTACCAAGAAGAAATAAGATGCTAGTATCTGTTTGCTAAAAAATTTGAAGAAGGAGTTAAAGAAATAAAAAATGATAACAGTAGATACAATGATCAACAAGCTAGAGAGTTAGTATATGGCAAAGTCACAACTAATCTTCCAGGATTTACAAGAGATAGTTTGTGTAAAAAAACTGCAAAGACTAGAAATATCTACAAGTTGTTTGGAGAAAGTTATGACCCTGATACCAAAAAAATAGTTAAGAGGATAGGAATTGAAAAAATTGAGCGAATTCGAACATATAGTGCTGATTATATTTTTTTTTTTTTTTTTTTTTTTTTTAAAAGTGAGATCTTGTCTCAATTTCTTTATTGATTTTAATATATAGGTACA